AGATGCTTACAAGAGTTTCTACAGTAATTTAGGCCTCTGAGTAAGAAGCATTAATATTTAAATAGTCTGAAATAGTCTACCAGAAACCATTATAAAATTTCAGTATCACCATTTCTGTTAAACACAAACTTTCAAAAAGAAATACATCCAGAGTAATTAAATTCCACAGCCTAAATCAATACCTCCACTGAAAAAGCATTCTAACAGTTTTCAAACACAAAGTCTTCCTATTCAACATAAGAAAAAGCCAGTCATATTGTTCATAACCACTTCAATGTGATTAAATTTCGTCACCAATCTCCAAGTAACAAAAAGATAGAATCTTAATTGTATGCATATATTGGAAAAAAAAATGTGTGTGTGTGTGTGTGTGTGTGTGTGTGTGTATGAATCTGAAAAAAATTCCACTACTGCCTTGCTGTCTCTTTCTAAAAGAAAGACTCATGAGATAAGCAGGTCTGAAAACAGAAATGGGTTTAAAAATCAAGAAGAGAAGACATTAAAATTGGATGCTAATATCAGCAAAAAACAAGTGAAATATGAAATTAAAGACAATACCATTTACATTAGCATCCACAAAAAATTAAATACTTAGGTATAAATCTAACAAAATATATATGATGAAAACTACCAAACTCTGATGAAAGAAATCAAAGATTAACAAAATAAATGGAGAGATTTTCCATGTTCATGGACAGAAAGAGTCAATATTGTCAAACTGTCAGTTCTTCCCAACTTCATCAATAGGAGCAATGCAAGCACAATCAAAATCCCAGCAAGTTATTTTTTGTATATTGACAACCTGATTCTAAAGTTACATGGAATGGCAAAGAATCCAGAATAGCCAGTGCAGTATTGAAGGAGAATAAAAGAATTAGAGGACTGACACTATCCAACAAAACAGTGTGGTACTGGCAAAAAAAAAAAAAAAAAAAAAAGGTCAGGTAGATACATGGGACAGAATAGGTAGTCCAGAAGTAGGCCCACATAAAAACAGTCAACTGATCTTTGCCAAAGGAACAAAGGCAATACAATGGAGAAAAGATAGTTTTTCAACAAATGGTGCTAGAACTGAAGACCTACATGCAAAAAAATGAATCTAGACACAGATCTTAAACCTTTCACAAAAATTAATTCAAAATAGATCACAGATTTAAATGTAAAATGCAAAATTATAAAACTCTTAGAAGATAAGAGAATGATTGGGGTTTGGTGATGGCTTTTTAGATGCAACACCAAAGTCACAGTCCATGAAAGAAAGACAAGCTGGACTTCATTAAATATTTCGGTTCTGTGAAAGACATTTGTCAAGAGAATGAAAAGACAAGCCACAGACTGTGAGAAATTATTTGCAAAGACATATCTGATAAAGAACTGCTATCCAAAATAAAAAAAGGACTCTTAAAACTAACAGTAAGAAAACAAACAACCATACTAAGAAATGGGCCAAAGACTTTAATGAATATCTCATCAAAAAAGATACACATACGGCAAATAAGCATATGAATAGATGCTCCACATCACATGTTATCAGGGAAATGCAAATTAAAACAACAATGATATGCCACTACAAACCTATGTGAATGGCCAAAATCCAGAACACTGACAACCTCAAATGTCGACAAGGATACAGAACAACAGGAAATCTCATTCACTGCTGGTAGAGGGAAAAATGATATAGCCATTCTGGAAGACAGTTTGGAAGCTTCTTACAAAACTAAACGTACTCTTGCCATATAATCCAGCAATCACACTCTTTGGTATTTATCCAAAAGAGATGAAAACTTACATCCACACAAAAATCTGCAAGCATACATTTAGTTTACAGCAGTTGTATTCATAATCGCCAAAACTTGGAAGCAACCAAGATGGGCTTCTGTATGTGAACGGATAAATAAACAGTGGTACATCCAAACAATGAAATATTATGCAGTGCTTTAAAACAAATTTTTTTTTTTTTAAAGAGCTACCAAGCCATGAAAAGACATAGAGGAAACTTAGAGGCATATTACTAAGTAAAAAGAAGCCAATCTGAAAAGGCTGCACACTGTATGATTCCAACCATATTAGGTTTTGGAAAAGGCAAAACTATGGAAACAATAGAAAGATCAGTACTTGACAGAAGTTAGGGGAGAGAGGGATGAATAGAGAAACACAGAGGATTTTTAAGACAGTGAAACTACTCTATGATACTGTAATGGTGCATACATGTCATGTTTGTCCAATCCTGTAGAACACACAACAAGAGTGACCCCTAATGTAAAATACAGACTTTGGATGACAATGATGTGTCAATGTAGGGTTCATCAGTTATAACAAGTGTACCACTGTGGAGAGGGGTGTTGATGGTGGGGGAAGCTGTGACATGTGGGAGCAGGGGTACATGGAAAATCTCTGTACCTCTGCTCAACAGTGCTATAAACATAAAATTAAAAAATTAAGTCTGTTTTAAAAAAACTGGATGCTAAATTATGATTAACTTGGAAAACCTTGTAGTAGATCAAGAAATAGGATGAAAAGAATATATAACATAAGGAAAGTGATTCTGAAAATGGGAAATATTTAAGAAAGATCAAAAAAGCCCCAGACATTTACAAATCAGAATTATACCTCTTCTAAACCTCCAGTCGTCTTCTTGATCGTCCTGATGGTTTGACTGTTGCTTGGAAATCTGAGATACTTGATGTACTAAGCCTTTTTGATCACCTTCTGCTTTCATGAGTTGTGTACGGAGTTCTTCTACCTAAATACACATAGTCAAAAGTGAAATTTTATCAGTTTTAAAAGCAGGAAAAGAATAACTGAACTTACAAATTATTTTTCTAGGGAAAAAAAATTTACTTCCAGCGGGCTACTGTAAGCACAAGTTGAAGCCAAGTTAATCTCCTTGTTATGCCAAGCACAGTGGAACAGTCTCTTGCTCCATTTCTTTATTCCTCCCATTCCTTCCACAAACAATGAATGTTCTTTCCCCTTCTCTGTGTCTACTGTGACAAAGAATTTGACCACACTTTTTTTAAATCCCTATTTTCACCTCAGTCCACTCTGCTGTTATTAACCCAAACTACCTCCAATTAAGTACTATAAATTTTTATATTTTTCACTTATTTTCTTTCATGTGAACATAGTCTATTGGTTGGTAAAGTCAAATTAAATGATCACAATTTAGCACACTGTGATATCAAAGTACTGCTCAAAATAAATATGCAATAAAAGCTGTTGAATAAACTATAAACTCCTTGAGGTAAGGTACCATTTTATTCATCTTCGTCTATCTGGAGACTAGCAAGCATGTCCACAATGACCTTTAAACAAGTCAGCAGTAGCAGAGACTCAGGTAAAGTCACAATGACAACTTTAACACATAAATCTCTTATTTCAAAAGATTAGAAATTACAAGGCAGAATTCAAAAAAAAAAAATCAGAAGGAAATGAATACAAATATAAACTTCCAAAAAAGAAAGTCTAAACTCTGCCAACATTAATTCCATTGGACCACTGGCTGCAAAACAAAGCCATTACACATTTTTAAACATTTTGTAAAATAGGAGCTACGGTGTTTCAGATGCTTCAGGATTAACTGTCAAAACGTAATACTCCTTCTGAACGTCTAAGATGTCTGACAACTTTGCCTGCCTAGCATATTATGTAGTGAGTTATGTAAGCCACACCTCAAAACAGAGGAAGTTACAATTGCAATTTATATTAAACACAGGCAGAAAGGTAGTTAGAAACCCACATGCCCTTACCCAATGTGTATAAAATGCCTATTTCAAGTTACTGAACTTTAGATATCAGAAGCACCAAACTCCTATTATGGGCTAATTGGCTGCAAAATGTTATGCTTTAAAATTTAGCCTTTTCTCTGGTTAAAAGGAAGCAGGGCAGGTAGCATCTTGAAAATGTGAATATAAGACAGTGATGCATTCAAAGTAACTTGAATATGCAAGGTCTGTTTTATGTATTTTACTTCCTCCTTCACTCTCTAACATCTCCTTGAATAAAATTAAGCTCCTGGGAAAATTTTATCTTACACATCCAGTCTCACTTTTACACTGGTTATGCTAAGAGAGAGAATTCCTAAACTGGAAAAGCAATCAGCAAATACACTGTCACAGTGGGAACCTGGGCTGGTGTTTTATATTGGCTTTCTCTGAATCTTCCTGAAAGGATTTCATCTTTTGCTTATGTGTGTTAATATACATTCCTTAAGGAAAAAAACTTCTAGATCTAAGGGTTTTTTTCCCTTTCACAAAGACATTTAACAGGGAAA